GGTTTTAAAAGAAATAGCTTTAAAATTACAATTATGTACTACTCACATAGTTGTAATTGATTGCTGCAAAAATTTACCCCTTGCAACAATATGAGAAGTGATTTTGCCATTATTTCTATGGGGTTTATAACTCTCATGCTACGGCACCCCGAAATTTTTTTACAGCTAAGACAATAAAGACGTGAAGACCACAATTTTTCTTTTCTTTTCTCATCTCACTTTCTCCCTCTTTTTTATTGTCTCGGTTGCAAATTTTGTTGGGGTGTAGCGACATAAGAGTTATAAACCCCTATTTATATTGATAATCGATAATTTCTTAATAAGCCCCTTGAAAGAGGAATTTACATCGACTTAAGAATTTTATATGATTTACATGCGCTGTTAAAAAGTTACAGGACTGATTATTTAACAAGAAGTTGCTTTTGCTTACAGCAGTAATTCCTCAATGCAACAAGGTTCATCTTCCATTTTTGCTGAGTATCGACTATATCTTTGGTCTTCTTTTTTTATCCCCTCCGTTTGGCCTAAACAAGTGGATTACATTGAATCTCATGAAAAATTCACTGATTCTTAGGGGGTTCTTTTTTTTGCATTTTTTACTTACGATTTTCCTGCACTATTCCAAACAATATGGGAAAGTGCTGAATCTCCCCAAACTGCATTTGTATGCAATGACTTTGATATAGATATATATCACATTTATCTTGGTTGAGGAGTTTGAAAATAGTTGATGCCATTATATTATTTTCTTGAATATCATGTAATCATTTACATCCACCATTGTGTGTATATTCATTGTAAGTCTCTGGAATTGTCCTCCATCTGATGTTCTCATAGGGGAGTTAAATAACAAAGCATCATATGAGTATACAACATTTACTTTGTTAATTTTTCCTTACTACCAAATAGTAAACTTTTCAATTTATTAGCTATTAGTGTGGAGTGAGAGGTTGACATGATTAATTACCTTTCATTTGTAGCAGAAGAAGCAATATAGTTCGAATGCAGTTGGGATCTATGAAGTAACGACACTTCAAAAATCCTGACGTGTCGTGTTCGACACTCACCGACACTCCAATACTCGTTGCAAAGACTCAAAAAAGGTTCAAAAGATATGTTGTGTTTCATTTTGAGTTCCAATTATTAGATTCGTTAGATTACGATTACGATTACGATTTTATTGAGTTTAATATAAACATTTAAGATATATTATATTTCTTTGCAAAATTGATGGGTATTATGAGTTTAGGCTTTTTGACCCTTATGACCCTTAATTAATAATTAATTACCAAATTGCCCTTCATTCAAAACTATTTCGAAAATTTACCCTCCCCAACAAACATAACACCAATCTATCCCTGTTTGACCGTTGACCACGAAGCCTACCCCGGTACACCATTACCTACCCGGGTAAATTTTGAAATTTTTTTATCTACCCGAGTATGTAGGAGTGTACCCGGGTAGAGTTCTTGAATCTGGGAAAATAGTTGAATTATTTACCCGGGTATGGATCAGTGTACCCGGGTAAATCGCGTCCAGAAACCCCAATATGTATGGGTTTCGGCCATTGTTGCGAGGTATAAGGTTTTTGAAACCCCAAATCTCTCTCTCTTACCCTCTCTAATCCGAAACATCACACATATTTCATCTCATCATTTCAGAAAGCTGAATCTTGGTGGGACATTGAGATTACATCTCCACACTCCCATTTTGTGCTCAAAAATCCGAACCAACCTCCAAACCTAAAACCTAGATCTAATTTTTGTGTGAAAGATGAGTTCAAGTCCAAACATGGTTCCTATAGTTATTTACTACAATGGGAGGCATTTTGAAGGTCCGAACGGTGTCCGATTTGAAGGAAAAACAAAAACGATGAAAATCAAAGTGGGCACTACATGCAATGAACTGAAGGAGAGAATTCTTCAAAAAATGGGGTCAGAAGGCATACATTCCATCCACCGCATGATAGCCAGGTTAGAGACTGTAGTGGATATGGATACAATATACTACATTGGAAACGATATAAATGATGATGAAGATGTGGAGTTCGTAACAGATGCGTTTGTTGAATGGAAAGTATTAAAATATATTGAGATATATGTTGAAGTTGATGTTGGACAATCTAAAGTCAGTAGTCATATCATATATGGATGCCATGACATGATCAAGTGTCCATCCACCCTCAGGAGGAGCTGGTGGTCGCCGACTGCGGGTGGGACGTGTCGGTCTGACATCAACCTCAGCAACGCCATCATCATCGTCATCATCATCAAGGCCTACATCATAAACCATGAAAAACACATCTTATAAATACCACATTAAAAATTAAACAACACAAAATTGCATAAACTCATAAAGACCAACACATCACCTGCAGGTGCATCCTCCATCTCAGCATCATGGTGGAATGGGATCTCAGGTGGTTCTGGTGCCTTCTTCCACGTCCAGATACCCGCTCTGTTCGGTAGGATCCCACACTGCTTCAGGAGCCTCTCACCAAATATAGCATTCCAGCCTCTGGCGGTCTTCAAGGTCTCTGTTGCCATAGGCACTCCAAATCTATGCAGAATCTTCTGCACCAGAAATGCAAAAGGCAATTCAGCCTTCTTTGACTTGGCTGCCTTCCACATCAGTATGCATATGTAATGCCTCCAGTTCACCTGCTGACTGTGAAGGAGGGCCCACAGGATGACAAAGTCCCCTTCCAGCACCTTTGAGTGATTATGCGGGCGCTGGAAAATAATATGTGTCACCACATAATGAAGAATGCGAGCAGAAACTGACAAGTTGCTAACAGGATAATGAGCAAAATGACCGGGCTCAGCGTCTGCCCTCCTAGTCTCTGTAACAATGGTCTCCCGGTTATAATCACCAAATATATGATGGCTGTCTCCATCATATAGTGCTGCTCCTGTGACACCATCAAAATCGAACCCCAGTAGCTCCGTCCAGATAGGAGCAGTCATGATGATATCAATCCCGCAGACACGGGAAGTCAGCTCGCCTTGCGAGTAGCCAAGGTTCTGGTAGAAGGCTCTTACCATAACCTCCGAGTATGGGCACCGCATCTCCGCCAGGTGAAGTAAATGTGTCTGCTCAAGAAGCGGCACAATGTCAAAACGCTCTAGGTTGAAGAATGCCGAATCCAGTGATTTCGGTTCGCAGATCTTCCGGGTCATGAAAAACTTCACGAACTTCTCGTGTGAAGGTATGTCATCCTCAAACAAATATCCGAACGTCAAGTCCGGAGCCTGACTCGAAGCAGCCTGGGGCTGAGAGGATGACGACCCATCGTGACGACTCTTGGTTCTTCTCTCGGAATGGGTCACTGGCAGCTTTGAAACGCGTCGAGAGGTCATTGTGTCACACTATTAAACTGAAAAAATAACCAAAATCAGAAATTAGATACATGTTAGGGTTAGGGTTAGGGTTAGGGTTAGGGTTAGGGTTAGATTCAGGGTTAGGGTTAGGGTTAGGGTAAGCGTATGACATACAAATTGATAAAATAATTCGGACAGAATCAAATGATATAAACGAAAATACAATGAATCAGAACAGAAATCATAACATAATTGAAAAAACTGAAAAAAAAATGCACCTTTGATCGATTTCAATCGGTAGAAGGCAGAGAGGTTGCAAGGTCCGCGAATGATGATCAGAAACAAGACGAATTGGTGCAAGATTATGCCTGAAATCGCTCAAGAAGACACTCCTCCAGCAGCTCTACTCGGGTACCCCTTTTGTGGGTTTTCGAAATGGGGCTGCTGGGGTATTTTAAAACCCTACCGTCGATGTTTACCCGGGTACACTGCTCCTTACCCGGGTAAATAATTCAACCATTTTCCCAGATTCAAGAACTCTACCCGGGTACACCCCTACATACTCGGGTAGATAAAAAGTTTCAAAATTTACCCGGGTAGGTAATGGTGTACCCGGGTAGGCTTCGTGGTCAACGGTCAAACAGGGGCAGATTGGTGTTATGTTTGTTGGGGAGGGTAAATTTTCGAAATAGTTTTGAATAAAGGGCAATTTGGTAATTAGTTATTAATTAAGGGTTATAAGGGTCAAAAAGCCTATAAGTTTAGCTTTATTTTTTTTGTTAAATTATTGAATACTAAATATAATATATACTACATATATTAAAAATATTATATAACCTCAAAATGTGTCCTAACGTGTCAAAATTTAATATTTTTTAGAATTAACGTGTCGGAGTGTCGTGTCGTGTCGTATTCCGTGTCCCGTGTCGGTGCAACATAGGTTGGGATCTTGAAAGCCTCTCATGATGAGCTCACTTGCAGCGTATGATTGGTGCAAGTTAATGTTGGGGACATACTGTGCAGCTTGCTAATTTGTATCTTTTTAGCGGATAGTTTATGTTTCCTATTTGTGTAATGATAATTCATGCAAGAAGTTGAAAAGAATATATAGTCACTTGAATTTCAAGTTTTAATCATCATTTTTCTGCCATTAAGTACTAGTGCTGTTGAAATCCTCAGAAGAGGCATTTACGTTTTGTAACCATAGAAGTGGCGTCTACAATGCAGTTAAAAATAAAATTATTGTAAATATTTATATGTTATGTTGTCTCAGCTAGGCTTCTTTTTCTAATAGTATGTTACTTTTAAGTATTACAGGCACTGGCATTTGAATTTGACATTGCATTTTGACGTAATTGACAAATATTTACAAATCTTAAATTGATTTTTCTACTTGAGGGCAACTTCAATTGTCAACGTGACATTAAGTTGCACAATATTTTGAATTGAGTTTTGATTTGATATTGGAGCTATTGGTCATTCAACAGCAAAGACCTAGAGCTATTTTCTTTAATGGCTGTGTGCGCTTATGAAATATGTCTGCGAAATAGTGTGGTCAAAGCGTCAAGCTAATATAAGATTCATGTGAGAAATTGTTTCCCTTTCATTCTGACTTCGAGAAGTCATCAGAAAATTCAGAACTAAATTATCCAAGGACTTAAATAGATGATATTTTAACGGTCGTTGAAACATCCACATCATAACACAGTCAAGAAACAGAGTCTCTATTTTACTATAATTAAAAGAAAGTAGAAATTTACAAGTTCTGCTTAACTGTCTTAAACTTTACAAAGACAATAGCAGAACTATATCTTAAACATTTCAAAGACAGTAGCAGAACTATGCACAAAGTCGAACTTCTATCTTCCAATCTGTCAAAAGCATGAATCATGGTTTGTCTGGCCCATTTGCAGAAGATTGCTGATTTACACATTAAAAGAATGTCAAAATCCTAATTCAGAATAAAGAAAATATTAAAAATATCACAATATAATAATACCTCTGTACATGAAACTTGAGAGATATGTGGAAAACAAAAACTTGATGGAGGTGTATTAGCACTTGCCACTTGAGAGAGATATGGAAAACAAAAAGCCAATTGAGGTGTAGCAAAAGTACTAAAATCTGTGTCTTTTGAACTTGAAGCTATGCCTAAATTAAAAAAAAATTAAAAAAATTAACATTAAGCATATAATCATATATAACGAAAAAAAGTATGATCTTAACTTTTTTACCTTTATCTGCATGATTACACTCGGGAAGTGATGCATTAGCACCCTGAGAGTTACTATGAGCTTGTGATATATTTTTTTTGCACCTTTTCTTCTCCAATAGACTTTTCAGTCTAGCATTTGTAACTCCCTTTGCTCGAACACGTTGCGGATCTAACACTTTTTTAGAATTGAATTTACTAAGCTCTTCATCAATATTCATATCATCAACTTCAGTGGGTTTGCTAGTTAATGTATCAATCAAATTAGTGTTTTTGAACATCCTCTCCAAGCTTTTTATCCCATGCTCTAGGTGATCTTCAGCCATTTTGGTTGCTTCATTTGTCAATGCACCTTTGGTTGCAAAATAAATGGCTTTCCTCATTATTTGACTCATTCGCAGATTAATTTTTTGTGCTAAAAACTCACAAGCTTGTTTATCATTATCACTTGGACTAAAACCATCTTTAGCATCTTTTCTCCACCTCTTCAAGATATATTGAGAAGGTATGTGAAAAATATTGTGAAAGTTAAGCACTTTTAATGCATGAAGACATAAAAGGCCAACTGATTCAAACTTCTTACAAGAACAATCAACTAAGCAATTTGCAGATTCAAATGTCACAAAATATTGTTTGTCATCACCAGACTTCACCAATTTATAACTGAAGAAAGTACCATTTTCATTGATTTTTTCAATTGCCAGAGCTAAAGATTCAAACAGTTCTTCATAGAAATCTTCAAAAATAACATGAGTATATACCCGAGCACCTTGTTCAGCTATACCCGCAAGATTTTTTATTCTAGGAGGTGCAGATTGATTGCACTCGAAGTCTTTTTGCAATTCTGACCAACGCCAGCGCTCCAAAACTTTTTCATAACGAAGCACAAATTGGGTAAGAGACGTTGTCTTGCAGGTAACAGTACGAAAAATATTATTCATACTCTCACTTCTTTGTGTTGATAAGATATCAGCTGAGAAATAATTCTTACTAAATGCTGGGCACCAATTTGCTCGTAATTCATAAAATTTCTTCAACCATGAGCATTTTGAAATATCAACTTTTGTGAGCAAACAGGCCCACACTTCTTCAAACTCTTGCTCTGATCCACAATTGTATAAACACCTATTAAATAGAACCTTAAAGTCGGGTTGTCTCAGATAATATGAAAGTTGTTCTTTAGCATTTTGGCTAATATGCCACAAGCAGAGTCGATGTTGAGATTCAGGAAAAACTCTTTTAATAGCATTGGCCACTGCTTGACACTGATCAGAAAAAATTGTTTTAGGATGCAGCCCGCCCATTGCTTCCAAAAATGATTCAAATAGCCAAACAAATGATTCTGTAGTCTCATCTAACAAGAAAGCACAACCAAACAAAACACTTTGTTTATGATGATTTACCCCAATGAATGGTGCACAAGCCATATTATACTTGTTTGTTCGGTAGGTTATGTCAAAAATGACTACATCTCCAAAGTGACTATAATCTGTCCTTGATATGCCATCTCTCCAGAAAAAATTAGTCATGCGATTTTCACAATCTACTTGTATTGTATAGAAGAAAGAAGGATCATTTGCTTGTGAACTTTTGAAATGATTAATAACACTTTGAGCATCTCCTGCTTCGAGAGTGTTGTTTCTTTTGCCTTGTAGAAAATTGTCACAATCATGTTTTAAAAATCCAGCATTTTGGGCTCCTCTAGCAACCTCAACAAAATAAGAATACATACCGCATGGCTTTATACCAGCATTGTCCATATTTTGAATCATATGAGTATGTGCTTCAACTACATGCCTTTGGGATCTCAACATAGCTCGTGCACATGATTTTACAAGATCGTGATTATGATCTGGAATAAATTTAGAAATTATCCAAGTATCCTTCTCAATTTTAAAGCATATCATTGCTGGACAACCCGTTCTTGTTTCTCTCCTATTTACCTTGTTCACATGTAAAGGGTCCTTCAACCTTCTATATCCTTCCCTTCCACAAACAAATGTTCTTTGACTTATGGTTCCATTTGCTAATCTTCGATATTGTGATTTTCTCACAGAAAATCCAGTCAATTTAGCATATTCATTATAGAACTCATAAGCTTCGTCTTCAGATGAAAACATCATTCCAATTTTTGGCTCATATCCATCTTGTTCTTTAGTCACAATTATTGGTGACACAATTTGTTCATCATCATATTCACTTTTTGAAGTATGCATTTCACTAAATGAAGATGGTTCTGAATAAAGAACATCCATACCTATCACAATAAATTGGAACAAGCTACCATGAATTTTGCTATGGAAGAGTTAAAAAAAGTGTCACAACCATGATAGAGAAAAGAGGGGCTACAGTTGAAAGCTGACCTCTATGGGAATATGTTTAATGCGCTTCAATAGCATTCAAGAGATGACAACAATAACGTTCAAGTGTCACTGATGAATCCCCCAATGTTACGGCTGTAAATTTACAATTAATTGTGATGAGAAACTATGCTAGTAAATACAAACGGAGAATATATTTGATGACTCAAAAAACGAAAAAGAGAATAATACGAATATAAATATATCTTTATTATTCAAAAAAATTGTTAAGATCTTAAACTTTATAGAATTTTCAACATAAAAAAGAAATTATAGTACAGTATTTTCTAGCTAAACTTGATAATGAAAAACTTGTAACTTCGGATTATATAATTTTTTTGATGAAAACCCAATATAACAATGAATAAGGAAATAAAAAAATAAGAAAAATAAATTAAATAAATAAATTAAATAAATGGAACAAGCTATGTACCTTGCATGTTAATAACGAAAATAAACAAGCTATGAACCTTGCATAAAACAGAACTCTCTAAGAATCAATGAAGTTCTCAAGAGATGCAATGTAATTCACTTGATTAGGCAAAATGGAGGGGAGCAAAAAAAGACCAAGGATATAGACGATACCTCAGCAGAAGTGGAAGATGAAGCTTGTTGCATTGAGGATCTATTGCTGTAAGCAAAATCAACTTCTTGTCAAATAATCAGTCCTGCAACATTTTAAGAGCCTATATAGATCACATAAAATTCATAAATCAATGTAAATTCCCTATTCAAGGGGCTTTATGAGAAATTATCGATTATCAATCTAAATAATACATAAGATAATAGTAGTTCAGTTCTCAATCGTAAAATTCTATAAATAAAAAAAAAAAAAGTTGTGAAGTAATAAGGTTCATGTACAAGGAACTTGCAAGACATCAAGGTTTCAAAGATGGGGTGAGAGAGAGAAATATCATCTCTTGACCGAAATGGTATGGGTGTGGACTTCTTCAATTACTGAGATATAACGTCCTCGACAAACTCCGACAAAATTCCAATGACTTTCAAAGAAGTTTCATCAAATAGTCAATTTGGGGATTTTTCCATTTAACGAAAAAGAAGAGAACAAAAATGGAGGAGAAAGAATAAGAAGAACAAAATGGAGGGAGTGGGATGAAACAGAAAAGAGGAGAGAGAGAGCAGGAGAGCGAGAGCAGGAGTGAAAAATGAGAAAAAAAATAATTTGAATTAAAATTAAAAATAATATAAAATTATAAAATTTGATGACAAGTCACATGGATGACTACGGTGCGCATGGGTCAAACTGAACTGAATTTTTCGCAAAACCAAGCCGAACCATTTTAAACTGGTTCAGTTCAAAGAACTGAACTTTTTTTTTACTTGAAGTTCGATACCGGTTTGGAACTAGTTTGGTCCGGTTCGATATAGTTCGGTTCAGTTCGAAATGGTTCAGTTCGGTTCGAAACGGTTCGGGTCGGTTCGAAACGGTTCGGTTCAGTTCAAAATGATTTTGTTGAAAAACCAGTTTGAAGCTAGTTCAGATCGGAATCCAGTTCATAACTGGTTTCAGAATTGGGGTCTAATTCTGAGTTCAGAACTGGTTTTTGAATTGATGAACCATAAACCATAGAAAATGTAGACAGTGCTGCCAGTGAAATTCTAAGGTATCAAATGCTGCCCACTTGAAGTATCCACATACATTCATTCAAAGCTGTTAATGTATCCACATAAAGTATACACATACATGAAGTATCCATGGGAAAATTTGCAGCAGAGATTAGAGTACAACGAGGAATGGCACAAGGGTTTGGCTTGGAACCTTTGATAGTGCAGAGTCTGCTGCTTTAGCTTATGACCAAACTGCATTTTCCATGAGAGGCCATAAAGCTGCACTCAATTTTCCAGTCAAAATGGTAAAAGAATCTTTGCAAGAAATCAAATATGGTTGCTTGCAAGGTTTTTCACCAGCACTTGCACTCAAGGAGTGGAACTGCATCCGGAGAAATTTGTCAACACAACCAGGGTATACAACATGGCACCTGATCTGGAAGATGTTCAAGCTTGAAAATATCTCTGGTACTTTTTAGATTTTTCAGAAGAGATAAAAAAATGAAATGTTAAAGAAAAACCTATTGATGTCAACACACAGCCATTCTACAGTTCTACTTACTTGCAAGATGCCTAGATGCAATTTAAAGGTATAAATCAGAATCACTCGTCCATAGAAGAAAATTGAAGTTAATAGCATTAAGATTATACACCATACATATTTCTCAAATTATCATTCAATGGAATACGTTTTAAGGTAAATCTTTGGCATTCTAATATTTAATAAGTTGCTATTTCTGAGTGCTGTATTGATGGCATTTATCCAATAAATAAGGCAAAGTGAAAGACAAATTATCATAAAAATAAGTTATATATCAGAATTCAACAAGCTCCAAATGGATAATGAGATAAGAAGAATTTCCAATTAATGACACTAATAAATTATGATGCATATCATTAATGAACTCACTGCAAGTATAGATGCTGCCCGCGACTCTGCAGAATCAACATCAATGAAGTCAACCTCTTGTATATTTCCTCAAGCCTTCGTGAAATAGCACCAATGAAGTCAAGACAACATTGTCAGTTGTCCCAGTTTTGAGAGCATATACAATTTGTAAGCAAAACAACACATAAGGGAACAGTATATTCAACCTGTTTGGCAAGTAATTGAGCTTCTTCCTGCAGAAGCTGAGTTCTCTCAAAGTCAGAATTGAGAACACACTGCAAGGCAGTTATACATCACCAACAACTTCTTGCTCCAAAAGGAATAAAAGTTCTTGGCTTATTTTATTAAGGTTTAAAAAAAAATAAAGGGAAGAAAAAGCCAATAACTTTTTAGGAATATAATGGACAAAGAGAACACCTCAGAAGACAAAAAATAAAATAAAATGAAATAAAGTTTATGACTTATGTGATTTCCAAAGTGTATAAAAATAGAACTCTAAAGTCAATTACCAAGAGCATGATTTCCAAAGTATATTACTGATGAATAATCTTTGCACACTCCACCGAACCCGTATGGTCCTTCATCTGGTAAACAGTAAGGTGGCTGTAGAAATACAAACATTTACTATGGTAATTGAAAGATATATGGTGGTACAGAGAGCAATATCTAATAAGATTAATAATTCACATTAGAAAAAAGAAAAAATAAAAAGAAGAAGATAACAAAATACCATCAGAGAAACTTTGCAACTTCATGTCTTTCGTGAATTTTTTATATTTATTGCACTATATATATTATTGACTCAGTTTTTTTTTATTAGTTGGGAGTTGTTAGTAATTAGTATCATGATGATTAACAACACCTGGGAAAAAATTTGGGTACTGAAATAATCCTCTGTTTAGCACAAAGCTCATATGGCATTGCAAAATCAAGTACATAGCTTTTGCCCAACACTTGTTGTTGGCATTCAGTGACATTATGATAGAACTCTTCTTAAGGTGTATAGTAGAAAGCGTCACAGGGGATCAAATCCTAATGCTGACTCACAGGAGAGAGGGAATATCATAGCTGTTGGTGCTGAGGCTGGTGAGAATTCGGTTAGGGAGAGAGAAGTTGGTGTGCTACATGGGGCTGAGGCGTGAAAGTGCATCACAAGTAGTTATATAAACGGGAAAATAAAGGGATGAAGAAAGCTGGAAATTTGGGAGTTCTTTGGGAGGGATCAGTGCCTCTTATTAGCACTGAACCAGCTTGGGAAATTATTGTAATTGGTGGTTGTTTTTGTGCTTTGCGTTTAACTTGTTTCTGTCTTAAACAGTATTTTGTTATTGTAATTTTTGCTTGATAATATACAGAAAATCCAATATTCTGGGCCAAAACCCTGTGTTGTGCGTATTACTCTGACCTATTATATTACAATTCTAGCAACTGGTATCAGAGCACTCCGATCCTTGGGGTGCTTTGAATGGTTGTTACTCGCAACATGGACAATCGTTTGGAGATTGTGGAGGAGCGCTTACGGAGAATCGAGACTTTAGCTGAAGAGCGTCACGAACAAAGTGACCAACGGCTAAATGAGATTTTAGCCTTGTTACAACGTCATCCTCGCCATCGAGATCGAGCTGATAGGGATGGCAGCCCGCGTCGAGGTCGCTCTCGCCGAAGGAGCACGGAATCCACAGATTCTGACGGGAGAAACCCACTCGCAGGTACACATGGGGGAGGACCTTCGCGTCAGCCCAGATTGGAACTCCCTCGATTTTCTGGGGATGATGTGTTCTCTTGGGTGACCAGGGTGGAACGATACTTTCTGGTCAATGCAATCCCAGAAAGAGCAAGGATAGACGTTGTCATGATCGTCTTGGATGGTCCAGCGTTAAATTGGTTCTTCGTTTGGGAGCGTGGCAACCCCAACGCGTCTTGGGAAGATTTTCGTATGGATGTTATGGACCGATTCCAATTGGAGCTAACTGGGAGTCCCTACCAGGAATTGATGAGTCTGAAGCAGACGGGTAGCGTTGCAAGCTTTAGGGCTGAATTTGAGAGAATAATCAGCCCTATTCAATATGCCGATGAGGCTATGCTTAAGGAGATCTGGTTGCATGGGGTTCATAGCAGTCTGCGCACTGAGCTGATGCAAGCCAATATAGTATCATTATCTGACTTGATGAGGAAGACGATGAGTTTGGAGAGAAGAAATTTTTCGTGGGCTAGTGATGGGCTGGGTTCGTGGGGTGCTGGAAGGACAAGTGTAGTGGGCCGCTCCAATCAGCCCATTAAAGGGTTCTTTAACGCGTCACATGCCAAGGGCATGGCCACTAATGCCACGTCCATGACAGCTGTCGGTCATCAAGCTTCTCCCACCATTCAAAACGACATGCGTTCTGGTCACACAAACCCTACCCGTTCGCATAACGTGGGCAGTGAGGGAGCAACACGAACCATGGAAGCTTCTGGTTCTGGTAGCAACCTGGTTGGTGGAGGTGGACGGCTCAGCCAGGCGGAACTTCACGATCGAAGTCGCTTGGGTCTCTGTTTCAAGTGTGGAGAGAAGTGGGACCGCAACCACCGCTGCCGGAACGCCCATCTCCGATTGTTGGTCATCGAAGAAGATGAGGAGTTGATCGATCCAGAAGTTCCTTCGCCCATGGAGACCGCGAAGAGATCTTGCAACCGGTTGAAGAATCCCAGCCCATTGAAGCTGCACTCTTACAGCTCTCCATCTACAGTGTCTTAGGGCTTTCTTCAAACCAAAGTATGCAGATGTGGGAACGGTGAACGGCGAGAAAGTGACGACGTTGGTTGACAGTGGTGCGACTCATAATTTTATCAATCGTCAGGTGGCTGAACAATTGAAACTCACCATTGAAGATTCATATAGTTTTAAGGTGGTGCTTGGCAACGGTCACAAGGTAGGTGGGCAGCCAAGGTGTGTGCCGTCAAGTTCCGTTGCAGATTCAGGAGTTTCAAACGACATTAGATTTGTTCGTCTTTGATTTGGGTGGTGCAGAGGTAATTTTGGGCATGGAGTGGCTGAGGAACTTGGGGGAGATCACAGCTGACTTCAACAAACTCACGTTGAAGTTTAATGATGGGGAAAATGCGACGGTACTTCACAGAGATCCTGCTCTGTCACGCAAGGGAGCTTGGTCCTCTCTTCGTTCAATGGTGAAGACGTTAAAGGACAGTGGTCAAGGGTGTGTTGTTGGGCCTCAGTGGATTCAAGGAGAATCAACAATCATGCCAGTTGATTGGGCTGAGCTTTCACTACTGCTGAAGGAGTTTGATGACATTTTTCAGCAACCACAGGGCCTACCTCCTCACAGACGGCACGATCATGCAATTGAGTTGAAAGCAGGGAGTGGAGTGCCAAACATACGACCTTACAGGTATCCCTACTACCAAAAGTCCTTGATTGAGTCACTGGTTTCTGAGTTGCTCACTGCAGGGATGATAAGACCAAGCATCAGCCCTTACTCGAGCCCAGTCATTTTAGTACGCAAGAAGGACGGCAGTTGGAGAGTTTGCGTGGATTATAGGGCCCTCAACAAACTCATTGTGCCGAACAAGTTCCCAATTCCGGTGATTGAAGAACTTTTGGATGAGTTAGGTGGCTCCAAGGTTTTCTCCAAACTTGATCTTAAGTCAGGGTATCACCAAATTAGAATGCGGAAAGAGGACATACCCAAGACGGCTTTTCGAACCCACGAGGGACATTACGAGTACTTGGTGATGCCCTTTAGGCTCACCAATGCTCCTTCAACCTTCCAATCACTGATGAATGAGATATTAAAGCCTCATTTGCGCAAGTTTGTGCTGGTTTTCTTCGATGATATTTTAATCTACAGCCACAGTCTGGTTGAGCATCTGCAGCATCTCCGGTGTGTTTTGGGTATTTTGAGACAGCATAGTCTTGTGGCAAATAGAAAGAAGTGTAGCTTCGGGCAGTTGCAAATTGAATACCTCGGCCATTTAATCTCAGAGGAGGGTGTAAAAGCTGATCCTTCCAAGATTGCAGCCATGTCTCAATGGCCTAGTCCTACAACATTGAAAGAGCTGAGAGGGTTTTTGGGATTAACGGGCTACTATCGGAAGTTTGTTCAAGGGTATGGTCAGATTGCGAAGCCCTTAACTGACCTATTAAGAAAGGATGCTTTCCTTTGGAGTAAGGAAGCTCAGTCGGCATTTGAGCTGTTAAAGAGTGCCATGTGCTCCGTTCCAGTCCTAGCAATGCCAGACTTTGGTAAAACGTTTACTGTGGTCACTGACGCATAAGGAAAAGGGATGGGAGCAGTGCTTACTCAGGGGGATCGTCCACTCAGTTATATCAGCCAGGCTTTCTCTTCACATGCGTTGGAAAAATCAGTTTACGAAAAAGAGTTAATGGCAATTGTGTTTGCCGTTCAAAAGTGGAGACCATACTTATTGGGTCGCCATTTCATTATCAAAACTGATCAAAAAAGCTTAAAGTTCTTGACTGACCAACGAATGCTGGGAGAGGAACAACAGAAATGGGTATCCAAGCTTCTAGGATACGATTTTGAGATTCAGTACCAACCGGGTAGGGAGAATAAAGTTGCAGATGCCTTGTCCCGGAATCTGCATTGTTTCTCCCTCTCTTGTGTGGATGCTAGCAAATATGAAGTGTTGGAGCAAGAATTACAAGCAGACATCAGAATGAGAGGAATTATTCAAGACTTGGTCATCAACCCTCAATCACACGTTGGGTTCAGCCTCAATGGAGGCCGTTTATTTCACCAAGGCAGATTGGTATTGGCAAAAAACTCCAATTTTATTCCAATGGTACTGCATGAATTTCATGATTCTTATGTTGGTGGCCATTCTGGATTCTTGAGGACTCTGAAAAGAATCAACAGCTTGGTGTATTGGGAAGGTATGAACAAGAAGATTAAGGAGTATGTGGCCGCTTGTTCTGTGTGTCAACAAAATAAAGTGTCGACATTATCTCCTGCAGGGCTGCTCCAACCCCTGCCCATTCCTACCTGTGCCTGGACTGATTTGTCGATGGATTTTATTGGAGGACTACCAAAGGCTCAAGGTTTTGACACGATTTTCGTGGTATTAGACCGCCTTTCTAAGTATGCCCATTTTATTCCCCTTAAGCATCCTTATACAGCCAAGGTAGTTGCTCTTTTGTTCATCAAAGAAGTAGTTAAATTACATGGATTCCCAACATCCATTGTCAGTGATAGGGACAGAGTTTTTCTTAGCTCTTTTTGGTCAGAGTTGTTCCGTTGTAGTGGCACCAAATTGAAATATAGCACATCTTATCACCCACAGTCCAATGGCCAAACGGAGGTAGTTAACCGTTGTTTGGAAGATTATTTAAGGTGTTTTTGTTCGCCTAAACCCAACACTTGGCCATCCTGGTTGCATTGGGTAGAGTTTTGGTACAACACTACCTTCAAGACTGCCACGGGTACTAGCCCATTCAAGGCAGTGTATGGATGCGAACCTCCTACTCTGTTTCGGTCCAGCTTTGCTATATCTCCAATTGATGAAGTCTCCACAATGTTACAAGACCGAGACTTAATTTTACAAGAGTTACAACAGCATCTTTTGGTTGCTCAATAATAGTTTTACATACTATGTGGCCAATTCACCATTTAGAAGATGTGTCAACTGGATACAAAGCGTTAGCAGACAAGTGCGTTGATAAAAATAAAAGAATCAGTCTTCCTATTACACTGAACAATGAAATTGCAAATAGGAAGTGCAAGGGAAGAAAAAATAAGGAGGTTGTACCCTTGGATGCTACAGCATTAGGTTCTTCATTCAAGAAATGGGTAGTCAGTGTAACCAATAACTGGATCAGGAATGTAGAATGTCTCCCGGTTATACTTGTTGAGAGGGGCATCAAGCGCAAATCTCTTTGGCAAATCTGGATTAGCCAAAGACCAAACGACCATAAGCAACAAGATCTGCCCTGTTTTCAGCTATGGTATTGATCCCATCTTGTCCTGCAACCATAAAAGTTCCATTGTCCCTTAATATATTTTTTCAGAGTCATCTAATTTTTATAAATTTCTAAATCAAAACTTCTTTTCTTTTACCCAATACTGATGCAGTATTGGGTGGGGTGCGTACAAGGAACCACTCCACTCCCTATTAAACTCGACTAGCGAGTGTGGGGTGCGTACAAGGATTGTCTCCACCCCACACTCGCTAGTCGAGTTTAACGGGGTGTGGAGTGGTTTCTAAATCAAAACTTCGTTTCTTTTACCCAATATTGATGCAGTATATGCTGATTATGAGTGTCCATTATTGTGCCAAAGATATGATCATGTCAGCATGCAAAGAAAAACGATCTTATCTAAAGCACAAGCTCATCTCTCGGAATTAATTAATCAACAGTTAACTCTTCAAAAAAAGAGTGACCCACTTAGCAGTAAGAATAAAATATAAAGTAATTTCCGTTGTGGATTATGGACAGAAACATGATTGACATTTTATTTTGTTTTGCTAAGATTTCAATTTATAATCAACACTAGACCAAAAAAACAAAGTGCAGTCTTTAACCAACTTTTTCCCATAAATTTAAAATCAACACCACAACCCATTATTGAAACAAAGCCAACAACAAAAGTAAAAATCAGAACATGAAAACATAGGTCGAGAAACTATAATTACTAGAATCCCTAAATTACTAGGAATGAAAACGAACCATATACTCATGAATACTCACTTCCAGAAAGCTAAGCCACCAGCCACCGTGACCAATTGGATGAGAACGAGCAGCCTTGCAAGGAGATTCGATACTGAAGAGGATTATAGTTAGATGATTGAGACGGTGAACTTAGGGTTCATGACAGTCCGATAGATCGATGATTTGATTCTGAACAATAAGTGGTCGTGTGTTATGTGTAAATGGTTGGTTCGAACCGGTTACAAATTACTTCAGAATGGATTTGGATCCTCTTCGCAGTGGAAAAATGATAATGGTTATGTTATTTTCGTTTAAAGATACGGGTATAAGGTCTCTCCTTTTAAATGATATAACTTATGATATTTTAGGAAAGAGATAGACATAGAAAAAATGGAAATAATGAGAAAGAGAAAGTGAGTGATTTTTTTAATTTAAAATTTAAATAATTTAAAATGACAAATATTTTTCCCTAAAGATATATACTTTTTTTTATCTCATAATTAATAAGTGATTATAATCAAATAATATAACTCATTAACCGCTCTTTCATACGAAATCGGTTCGTAACTGGATTTTTTTAAAAAACAAATATTGGTTCAAGTTTATAATATGGTTTAAAAAATTAGTTTTTTTTTTGTTTTATGTTTATCATTTAACATAATAGGTAAAAAAATTAAAATAATGTAATTAATTAAAATAATTACGCATTTAATGTTATTTTGTTAAAAATTACACATCTGTTGCACAATGAGACGCTCCCTTTGGGCGTCACATGTGACGCCCCAATGGGGCGTCTCATGTGTAACCTATATATACCCCACTTTCCTTTTTTCACTCCTTACTCATTTACCTCTCTCCAACCTCTCTCTAACTGCGGTTCGTAGCGAAGCTCTGCCAACGTAGGTAAGGTCATAATACCTCATATGTATACATTTAAATTACAGTGCTAGTTAGTAATACATGTTAGGATTGATTGTATATTAGAGACTTGGAACATTAGGATAGTCACTTGGGAATTTTGTGGCATGCTATGAATGTTGTAACGATATAGTAATTTTATTATTACGTAGTTATTATTATTAATTTTTAATTATGCATTAGGGTTTAGCATATTAATTAGTGATTTATAAATAGTGTTAGGCACATCGTAAATTTCGTATGTATGATGTTATTAATGCGGGAGTGCATAACTTTGTAGTTAGTTAGGTGTGATGATTAATACGTATTGGACAAGTTGGTAGTGACCTAGGGTTAAGTATTCAGTTAGTATTATATTATTTTTGTCCGATGTATTATTATTATTTAATTGCAAATAAATAACTGTTCTACGTTTTGGCGGGACTTCATAAATTTCGATTCTAGTTAAATAAATGACGCATATGCTTAATTTTTGTGATAATCAATTATGTCACTGCTTAATTAAATTGTAAATAAAATGGGGCATTAGATGTGATTAATTTAAATGTTGTTTTATATTATATAGTTGAGGATAATGGCTGAGTCATCATCTTCTTCGGGATCTGATTCGGATGTAGAGCCCACCGATCCCAGCATGTGGATCATACCTGGGCCGTACAGGTGGGAGGTCCTTCGTAAGAGGACGCAGAAAGGTCATATTTCACAGCGAGTGTGGAATACTGAGCATGTAAGAAAGATTAAGACTAGGCGTGAGAAGCCACAAGGGGGCCCACCTACCGGTGCTATTCCACAGGTTGTGGAAGAGTACCTCAGACAGGCGGGTTTCATACATGTTGCCAGGAAGCAACATATCCAGGTTAGTTATTTATGTCGTTTTGTATTTATGTAATTATTTAATAAAATTCGTTAACACGTGATAACTGCGAAATTTATCACAGATAGATACATTTTTAAATAATGCTCTGGTCGAGAGGTGGAGAACAGAGACACATACGTTTCACATGACCCAAGGTGAGATGACGATCACCTTACAAGATGTGGCAGGCATCTTGGCTTGCCGACCGACGATACTGTCGTCATCGGATCGACCTCTGAGGATTGGCACACTGCTTGTGCTGCTGTTTTTGGACATGTTCCAGATGCCGGTGAGTTCCATCATTCCGGCGACCTCCGCATCTCATTCTTGGATCGGCATTATACCCGGTGGACTGATCATGAGGGGAATCATGCTGCCGAGATCTACTTCACAAAAGCCCACATTGCCCGGATGTTGGGGACTTGGTTGCTGGCGGACAAGTCTGGAGGTAGCAATTTTGGTTGCCGGCTTGTCCCGTTGCTAGGTGGAGGATTTGAGGACATTGATTGGCCGATTCGGCTGGGGATCTGCAGTTTTGACACACTTGTTCAGGAATTTGTGTGAAGTGACAGATGCCCGTCGAAGCGACATGGGTGGTTGCCATATTCTCCTTCAAATTTGGGCATGGATACGATTCTCACCCATTGCTCCACCCCTTCCTCCTCATCCAGAGCCGGGCACACATTATGGATGCCGGTATAATTTATTTACTTCATTTGATTTCGATAATGTATGGTTAATAATGTATATACTAACTGTATACTTCTTGATTATGATTGATAATGTATGGTTGATAATGTTTCTGATTGACAGGTTTAATGTTGTACAAAAGTTTAAACCTCATGAGGTCACCCATTATCGGGCAACATTGGACACACTCTGTATGACGGGTTTGGCAAATTTGAACGCCTCACAACACTGTCTAAACGTCCAAAAAATGCGATGAAAAACCTTTTTTCCAGAAACTAAGCTCTGCTCGGTATAAAGATCATTAGTTTTTATATGATAAAATGAACCTGGAGAAAAGCGAAGCATGTATTCGCACCACCTTGGTAAAAAAGCATACGATTCCTCCCAATCACCGTACAGAATTGCCATCGCTTTCTGCTTCGCATACCACGCCTTTCTGTAGGAAACTTGAAAGCCATATTTAGCAGTTATCCTTTCTTGCACCAAAGAGATTGTCACAGATGGTTCAAACTTTATCATCCCTGCATTGAAGAGGATATCAGTGCCTCGATAACATCGAACGAATTTAATTACACATTCGTGTTCATTCACACATCAAAAATACAAAAAGGTACCTATCACGAGATCTGCAATAACGTCTGCATCGAGCTGTCTATGACCCTGGGAAATGTGCTCATTCACACATTCGTGTTTTCCACCCCATCTCGTTATTTTCCAATTTTCACGAAACACCAGTTTGATCGCCCTTACGCGCCATGGACAACCTTGATCGTACGCACAACATTTCATGGACAACTTTGCAGGCGTGCTCTCAATTACAATGGCTTCTTGATGCTCCCTAATAAGGTTGTGCTTAAGTGCCATTTGGACATCTTTTTTTGTCGCAAATTCTTGATTGACAAATAACATGTCACCCAGTTGCCACGGACCTTGTATTGAAGCCGATCCAGACACCGAACCATCAGTACATGATTCTTGTTCGCTCTGATAACTCCAATCAATGTAAGAATAATGCGGAATTCCTTCCCAAAAAGGAATAACATCTGTGTCACCTGCAATTGCGGATTATAATTTTTTAATACGAACTTACTATTTCAGGTATTAAATCAGTTATTTATTCACGCAGTATGACGAATGGGATCAATTACCTTCTTGTGGAATACCAAACGGAGCAGACGCAACGTCATTCAACTGCGGCATTTGCGCGACGAATGGTTGATGGAATATTGGGATTTCAAACGCACCCATCTCACGAGATTCATCTCCTTCTGAAGCACTAGCATCCTCCGCCAGAAGATGTTCTTCCATTGCCATATTTTCATCGTCGTCATCGTCATCTTCGTCGTGCATTTCCCAAGTCGGATCATTTTCATCTCCCTCAGAAAAGTTACCAACTGGAGACGCATGAGCGGCAGGAGAAGCTGGAAGACGGGGAGAATTTAAATAAATTGACCTCACCGGTATGGGAGCATTCTCGGTTGCGACGATGTCGACATACAACTCTAGAAAATCTGTCCTTGACTGGCTGCAAAATTCTTCCATTGTCATCTCCAAGTCTTCATCGTCAAGCACTTTCAAACTAATGTATTTATCACCTTGCCACACCCTTGTCGTTATCTCAGTGATACATTGGTTGTCTTGAAGACTTAACTTCTGCCGAATTCTCTAATGCAGTTCGCCAATGGTTGTGTTGCGTTGGATACGTGTCGGCCTTTTTTCACCTTCGAATATGACACCTCGTCGACCTTCTACCTTCCTACGATTGTAATATAACACAACACGAACAGAATCAGGATTTGAGCTCATTTTTAAATAGAATTAGAACTAAAATTCAAATACAAAATTAAGAGATAAAGGAATGTTGGTGGAGAAGAGAGATATGAAGAGTGAGAGAAGAGGTGTGAATTGAATGGAGGGGGTGGGGAAATATATAGAGCACACATGTGACGCCACTTTTGGGCGTCACATGTGACGCCCCATTGGGGCGTCTCTCCCTTGGAGAAGACGCCCCAATGGGGCGTCACATGTGACGCCCAAAAGTGGCGTCACATTGTGTAGTAGATGTGTAATTTTTTACAAAACAGCATTAAATGCGTAATTATTTAATTTAAATACATTATTTTAATTTTTTTGCCTAACATAATATAACTTCACTTTCTTACACACACATTAAAGAGGTGAGGTCCACATGTTTTTCTTTATCTTTCATCATTCCACTTTCTCTCTTTATTTTGATGTGAGAATTAGAAACAACACTTACATTATGTTACATAATACTGATAAAACCTTTTTTTTTTTGTAGGGGTCATTGTCCTTTCTGTTACATTTTTCAATAAAAATCGTCTCAATGCTACGGATTCAAAAAACAAAAAATTCATTTCCAAAAAAACAAAAACAAAAAAAAAATTCAAATGCCATGTCACTAAAGTCATTAGTATTGTAGCATCTTTTGTTTGGTCAAGTGATATGTTTATTGAAACTATAAAAATTGTTGTTCAGTGCCGAGACTTTATGGTCAAAATTACAAGCTTTTTGTGTAGCTTTTTCTAACATGTGATAGAAAGAAAATTGAAGTCGCTGAATAATATAGAGATTATAGGACAATGCAGGAAAGTAAATTAATGGGAAAAGTACAACGTGTAGAGAGAAGTCGCTAGATGCTATATTCTTGTATTTAAGAATTTTTTATCTTATTTTATCCAGTACTCCTTAAATTAAGAATGTTCAATGCAGTGTGAAAGTGTTCTTCTTATTAATATTTTGAGAGGGTGTTTGGTTTAGATGAAATTGTTTTTTACTAAGAAAGTGTAACTATTAGGGATCTGTAGGAAAATTGAGTTAGATAGAAAAGTTTAAAAAAAGTTATTTGGTTGGGCAAAATTTTATCAAAAAAATTAAGTGAAATTCTTAAATCTGTGTTTGATTGAAGATAAAATATTGATGGAAAAACTTATTGAAATTACAAAATAACCCTTTTAAAAATAACCCTTTACAACCAATCTGTGAGGGGCAATCTTGTCACCATTTTGAACCACTTTATTAACTTATTCGGTTTTCAGAAAAAATACCACGTTCCAAGTTGCTTTCGTTAATAGTGGTTCTATTCCTTTTTAACATGCAATTGTCGATAGCTAGGCAACTCAGAGTGATCGATAAAATTCATGACATCTTTCTACCAAACGTGGAGAATTGACAATGCCTGAATCACTTCGCTGGGAAACTTTACAAAACTCCTGAACCAAATACCCCCTTAGAGATAAATTATTCTACCTGTCATTTTTTCTTCCTGTATATAATTCAAACTTAAAGTCGCAGTATAGCAAAGTGATTATTGTATTCCATATCTCAAGTATATAAAATGTAAACTAAATGTTTTCATTAACTCTGAAATTATGTCATCTGAACACCCACCAATCCTTCAATAGCATTGTTGCAAAATGATTGTTAACCCACAACTCGCCATGAAGTTTACACAACTAGAAGAAGCAATGCAAATACCATATAATCCTCACCCAAAGATTCAAAGGGTAACACATTATCTCAGAGATCGAAAACATTTTGTGCAGCATTACTCGCCCAGGTTAGTGTCCATTGGTCCCATCCATCACGGTGAAAAGAATCTGAATCTCGGAGAGCAATACAAGCTTATGTGGGCATCAATGTATCTCAATCGCACCCAACAAAATCCACAAACACTATATCAAAAAATTGCAGAAAAAATAGAGCAACTGAAGGATCTTATTGAAGGGTTCCATGATAATGAAAAGCTATCGTGGATGCTATTTGTGGATGAATGTTCTCAGCTACAAATATTGGACGAAGGGAACCTTGATAATACAAAAAAAAAAAAAAAATGAATGTCCAGCTTGATTAACTTGTTCTTGTGCGGCAGGATGTGCTCTTGTTGGAGAACCAGCTTCCTTATCAAGTGCTGAAACTGTTATCAGTCCGTGAGAATGATGCAAATCTGTTGAAAATCATGAATAAGTTTCTTCAGTGTCATCATTTATCGCCTGTTACACCCAATCAAAGTGATGAGAAATCAGACATGGGAAAGGGAAAAAACAAGGATCAAGAAAGGTACAATTAGAGTAATATTCTCAATTGTTGAGATTTGAATTAAATTTTAGGGTTATATACTTCTTCTGTCACCGAAGATGGAAATAAATGCAGCAACACTTATTTTTATTAAGATACGACCCCGTATCCTAGTGTTAATAATTTGCTACAACTTTTTTCATCAGCAGCGAAAGGAGAAACGACGAACCCTAAATTTTATTATACAATAGAGGCAACATGTTAGTTATAAAGCTATCTATAATTGGTAATCTTCTCTTGCATTTGCATGTGACTAATTATATCAACTAGATATGTGACCTCCTCACTCGAGCGTAGGTCGAGGAAAGGATCTATTATAGGTAATTTTGCGTACAGCAACGACAGGTGTATGGTTATGATTCTCCACATTTAATGCTTTTATCCTTTGTATAGTTATGATTCCCAGCATTTAACGCTTTCAAGTATATATATGGCAAGTTTTTGATTGCTGCACATACAGCAGCTGCAGAAATGTAAATCCCACATATATATATATATATATTGGGATAGGTTATTCTACCTACCATTTTTTCTGCCTACCTTTGCCTACCATCCTTCAACAACGTTAGATCAGAATCTTAACTAATATTTATTTTTCTCTCTTTTTGAGATTATGATCTAACGGTGTTGGAGGGTGGTAGGCAAAGGTAGGCAAAAAAAATGGTAGGTAGAATAACCTATCCCTATATATATATATATATATATATATATATATATATATATAAAGGGAAAAATGTTTGTCCTTTTAAATGACACAACTTATGTCATTTCACTCT